CACACACACACACACACACACACACACACACACACACACACACACACACACACACACACACACACACAGACAGAGCAGCGGCAGTGTATGACTTACATCTCATGGAATTGCCACGCTTTTTTCTTGCTGAAGTGGCTTTGATTGTAACATATTTCTCAAACGTTTAAAAGACTCAGAATAACTTTGGAAGGGTTGCATTCTGTAGAGAGTTTACCTTTCTCTGAGGGAATAGCTGAGACTCAGAGGACTTCTGGAGTTGGACACGCTCAGCGTGGACTGAGCGAAGGCACCACCTCTCACGGGGCTTCTGGTCTTGGCTTCAAGTCTGGACCGTGTCTCTGGAGACAACTGGGCCCTCACAGAACCTGACTTCACCTGGAAGAGGTCACAGGTGATACAGCTTTATAGCAACATGAACATTAAACGTTCAACCATATTTAATTACTTTCACTTTACAACTTTTTGTTGGCAGAATGACATGATTCCTTTGAATGAATATAGTATGTTAGAAATACTTCAGAATACTGAAAGAACAGTTGTGTGATGACAGTATATCATTCGGTTAGTCGGGCTTGGAGTACGAGTACCTACAGTGACATTGTGTCATTTGCTGGTTTGAAGTGTTATAATGAGACTTACTGTGGCTGCTCTTGGTCTGTAACTCCCTTGGAGAGAATAATCTACGATGACAAAGATAAGTTAGAAGTTTTATGGAAAGAGAAAACTCAGCTTTTTGACTGGAAAACATCGACAGTACTTTTTAAATGTTAAAAAGAGTTTATTCCTTAAACATAAACAGGTGCAAGTGAAAGTTACCCTACAGCTGTGAACAGAACCATGTGTCATCTGTGTATACCTAGTGTGGATTGGCACCTAACGGTTATTACACAATGACAAAAAAATTGTCAGACACCATTTTATCATTGTCGACATCCTCAGACAAGCTAAACAACCCAAATATATAAAAACAGCCTATTATGTATTTTGAAAGACTTCACGTCTTATCATGAAGACGTAAACCACATCAAATACATTTCCACAACACAACCAATCTTCAAATATTAGAGCAATTATTTGGAAACATGTTTTCTGCAGCAAGTATAGCATGACCGTAGGTATGTAACGATACATGTGTTAGTTTGCGCATGTGGACGTGAAGGCCTACCTGTGTGATCAGCTGTGAAGCTGACCGAGTGTCGATGGATACTCCCATCCTGTGGAGCGGAGGAAGGACTTCCCCTCACAGAGGCACTACTGCAGAGAGGGACCTGGTGTAGAAAACAACAGAAATACAATCAAACAATATCATGAACCTACACTGTTGTAGTTTAAATTCTGTCTGCATAGTAAAACACACGCACGGCAGCTTTTCTTCACTTTTGAGCATCCTGATACATAAATCAATCACACAATAAGAAATGACATGAATCACATTTTTTAGGTTGTGCAGAATAAAAGTGAAGTTGCACAACAAACAACAATGTTGCCACCATATGTCTTTCATGTCACCTCCAAACTATTTCACCAAATAGCTTGCAATGAGGCACACAGCAGACAAGGTGGGGAACGTGCTTCCTCTCCCCAAACAAACGGTGAGTTGAGGCTCTGATAATGCATTCACCATGGGGCTAAGCTACTTCATTAGCTATCTATTTGTTAATTGCAGCTTGACTCTCAATTACTCGGGTTAATCACAGACGGAACAATCCCCCAGGAAAACCAGAGCAGCAAACACGCGCTTCTCTCTTTAATAAAACTTCAATTGTAAGTAAATTCCATTCAAGTGTGTGACGAAAACAAACAACTCTCTACCTAATCATTTCTTTAATAACAGCATGTTAGTGGATTTTGATATTCATACCTGAGGATTAACTTTGATGTAAATGAAGAAGCAGGAATACAGAGGGGGGGGGTAGCAGAGGGAGGGAGGCTTGTGTTGTTCTTGTCCATCAACTGAATATTCCCCATGGCTGTGTGATCGGAGAATCACTCCCTTTTATATGCAGATATCTCAGAGCAGTGATTCGACCATAATTGAAGTGTTTTAAACAGCCTACAACCAGGAGGTGTGCTATCACAGCACACTCAATGAGGATAATAGGCTATATTATATGTGCATACAGTGAAACGTTTTCATGACGTCAAAATCCATTAACGGCTCAGGTAAAAAGATTAACACTGCTCTCTTCTCCACTTAATCTGCCCACTAGATTATGTTACATTTTGGGGAAGCTCCCACTGAGGGTTGAACTACATCAATTCAGGATCCCGTTCATTTTAACCCCCGTCCACAGAACACGTGTTTTATTAGCATTAAACAAACCACGTGCACAAAGCACTTGGTTGCAGGTTGGAGGAATATATCGAATGTTACCAACCAAGAAGGGCGGCTGGCTCTCGGTCTCCTTCCTGAAGTGGTGAGGCCCCAGATGGAGGTGGCCGAGCCGCTGCCTGGTGTCCTCTGACAGCTGGCACATCTTGCGGTGGGTGTAAGGGGACAAGGCACGAGTCCTTGAGGAAACGGTGGGCTGGTGGTAGCCAGAGTCTACAAAAACTCTAGAAGAAGTGCGTTTTCCTTCCTTCTTGTCTTTTTGGGGCCTTCGGACAGATGTGGATGAAGAAGCGGAGTGTCTGGATGTTGAGGACGGTGCAGAGTTTGTGATTCTGGCCTCAACTTTTAGCCTTTCCTTCCCACCTTTACAGGAGACACGGTTTGCATCATCTATTTTGGAAAGATTCCCGTCAGATGGCAAAGACTTTTTCGCTGAACTCTGTCTGGATGGGGTTAAAGATGGCCTCGCTGGAGAAAGACAGCAGGTCTAGGGGTGCAGGGACAGAACACGAGAGGGCGAAATGTTGATGTATTTTGTCAAACAAGCCTCCATTTTAAAAGGTGACACATAACATTTGTCTCAGCAGTTTAGATTTCTATGCAGATCAAAAACATTGTTCCTTTACACACGCGTCAGACATTTTATCCATTAAGGCAGCTGATCTCACTCTCGACAGACTTGTTCTCCCTGGACTAAAGCATTAAAGCATTAGCTAAATCATTCAGCTTAAGTGTTACAACAACAACAGCTCTCACAGTCGGCACTGCCATGGAGACAACCTCTGCAGAATTACTTTAATAACTCTAATGGCCGCTAACATCGTTCTCCGATGCAATATCCCACTTCCTGCGGGTAATGCCAACCGGGGATAAATAAGTTACGATAAAATGTTAATTGCATTTGATGGCCATCTCCAGTCTAACATGATAAAGAGGCATTACCCGGCTGTAAAACAAAGATAATCCAAATGCTAATTAGGTAAATCACACACATTTAAAACTATTTTTAAGAGAAACTAAATGATAAATACATTATTATCGAGGTTGCCATTTGAGATTGGTCTGATTTAATAAAATGAAGCAAAGTATGGTCTCCAACCCCGACATCTAACACCATGTCTGACTTCTCTCAGCTCTTCTGTCTGTTCATCACTGGATGATTAGCTGCTACGTTCACAACTGGAAAGCAGTGCTTTGAGCTACAATGCTAAGTTCAGCATGCTAACCACATCCACGACACAATAACAATGCTAATATCCGAACGAGATAATTCAGTCAAGACCAACGTGGTGGGCTGACAGTCTGACAGACAGATGGACAAACTGACTAAGAAGGCCGGCCCTACTTGCTATCATGGCTCAAAGTGACTTTTGGATTAAAAATGTTATCCAATGAGGATCATAACAATTAACCAAAGATTAGAGCAGCCAAATATCGGCAAAGAAAGACTAAGACATTGCTGAACGCTCAGTTTCAGAGGTTTTGTGGAGGTTGCGTTCACTCTAAAATCTCTATTAAAACAGGACCAGGTTTGTCAGCTGGGTGGGCAGGCAGTCGGGGAGATGCGGATGCTGAGGAGCCATTAGGAGAAAATGGAGAAATTCTACCGTCTGACAGCCACAGCGGTGCTCTGATCCAGACATCCCCCCGAGGGGCCAGGAGAACACTCTGACAATCTGCTTGGCTGTCAATGACATCCCATTTAAACAAATAGCTCAGGTTACCGCACCTGGGAAATGCATGGCAGTGTTTTTGCCACAACATGCCAACTGCTGTGTGATGGATCATGTTACAAACAGGACTGTTTAAAAGAGATTTTCATTCTTACTAGTGTTTTGAAGTGACACTCTTTTTTGAGTCTAGATTTGGAGCATTATTCTACCATCTGCTGACATTACCTCTGCACCAACATGTATTCAGAGTCACACCAGACCATGAAGCAGTGTAGCAAATACAATATTTGGGGTCCAACAATTGCCCCCATTGTCGAAAAATTGGGGCATTTTATAAGATTTCGGGGGTACATAAAAATGAATAATTAGTGAATAAAGTTGCTGTTTATTGAGGAAACAAACAATTATTTTCACTATTAATTAATCTGCCAATTACTTTCTAGATTATTCATTCCGTCTATAAAATGTCCAAGTTTCTTAAAGTTCAAGGTGACGTCTTTAAATGTCTCCATATTTGAGAGGGTTAAAAACAACATTTTCTGCAATTTTTGCATAAAAACTAATTACTGTAATGATTAACCAATTATCGAAACAGTTGATTCATGTTCTGTCCATCGACTAATCGATATGTCAACTCATCATAATGTGAAATGATCCCAGATTAAAATGTATGCAGTAATCACCACCATGTGTCAACATGAGTAAATAAAAAGCATGCTATTGCTTACAAAGAGAGATGTGCAATCATCTGTTAGTGAAAAGCTGGAGACAGTTCTAATTATTTAGCCTCTTAAAAGCCCGTTAATATGTATAATGTATTTGTTTATACAGAGTTCAGAAAATGACTGCAGTTGAAAACCTTTGCATGCTTTATCTCATCCCCAAATTTAGCCACACACACACACACACACACACAATCTGTTTTTTTAAATCTTGGGGGCTGTTTTTGCAGTTTGCCCCACTTAATTCTTGACACTGCCATGAAGGAACTAAGAATTATTGTCATTATCAATTTCAATTACAATTTCCTCAAGCCCAATGTCCATGTTGTCTGACCAACAGTATACAACGTAGACAAATTAAAGCAGTAAATCCTCACGACTGAGAAGGTCGAACAAGAAAATGTTTTGCTCGAAAAAAATAATGAATTTGTCAAGATAATTGATTTTGTTAGTTTTTTGAAGAAGGCATCAGTGGATGAGAACATGAGAACTTGGGAGTCCCCATACAAGTGAAAAAAAAGAGAGAGGAGTCAGAAAAGTGATTTCAAGCCGCTGAGCACGGTTACCCTTAAACATCCACGAGGACACGGTGGAGATACAGCTGACTCTCATATCGGATCGTTAATGTAAAAAAACAATGACTGACTGGATAGTTCTGTGACAAATAGTGTGTAAACTCCCATCTAGTCAGAGATGAGAGAGAGAGAGAGAGAAGCCTCGCAATCAACCTCACAGATCTGCCTCCCCGTAATTACATTCACAAGGAGACACCCTTGAAACACTGCCAGTATGGATAGATAGATAGATGCAGTAGCCATGGCAACAATAGAAGGTGGGTATGTATGGTGGAAACAGAGCAATGTGATGGCGAGCGATACCGCTCATTAAAGCCGTCTTGAGGTTCATTTTTACTGTTGTAATGCCGAGTATGAAGCTGTGATGTGTTCAAACTCAAGACATTTTGAGCTGATGAACACACGCAGTTTACTTGACTTGTGAGAAGCACTTTGAGGGGTTTTAACTGTTTACATGTTGACCAAAGACAATGAACACACACCGGAATGTAATTACAAAAGACCAAAGTGTTTTACAAATGAACAACAGAAATAAAACAGAAAGACGTGTGTCTCAGTGTGTGTGTTAAGGTACGTTAAGATGTATGAGATGTAATGAAAGGACACACTTACAGGTGAGGAAGGCAAGCCGTCTCCCCCATCACTCTCTTCTATGACCGATGTCGTGGCAAACTCCACTTTGAGGGAGATTCCCTAGAGGGAGAGGGACAATAGGTACAAACACAACACCTTTAACAGGGAGATTAAGACAAACAGACATAACAGCACTGCTTGGACCACCAATTTACACTCACACATCTTCAATCTCTGCCCGACTGGAGAAAAACAAAATTGCAGAAAAGAGAAAGGCTCCAGTGATGTTTAAATAATATGGCATTTGGAAAGAGACATCTAAATTGGTAGGTAGGCCTCAAACAGAAACACATAAAAGCAATGGTGAGGGGAATGGTGTTTAAAGACATTTAAATATGCCAGTTAGTGCCTCGGAGGACAAGAGGTGGAGAGAAAAGCAACCCGCAGGAGCTAGGGAGAGAACGAGATGATATATGAAGAGGAGGGAAAAGCAACAATGACAAGATGGAGAGTGAAAAGAGAGGTTCTGTCTGTGAAGCTCGATATGGAAAACACTGTTTTCTGGAGAAATTACTTCACTTTGTCGAAGACAAGCCAGTGCTTTTGAGTTGGTTATCTTGCTACCTTCCTGTCATGTGCAGAGACGTATGAGCCACAGAGATTAGGAGGAGACTCACTTAAAGAAAGCAAAACTCTCCTCCAGTCTGTGAATGACACATGCAACGTAGGCGCCAATCAAGCCGGATCACAGAGCAGAATGTAGGGTCGCTGTGACATGTGAACAACGTTTAAACGCATTACCTGACATCGCTCCTTTCAATAATTCAGCAGTGTGCAGCAGATCAGGTACCTTTGCAAGCATGAAATACACGCGATACACCTGGAACCATATCTATAAAACTGCTGAAAGTAACATTTTGGTCTTAAGTGAAAAATAAAAGTAAATATCCTTCAACTTTACTCCAAATTGAATTTTTTAAAATGAAAGCACAGCTTTGTTTTTCTCTGTGATTATAATATTAACGTTTTTTCAAACCATAGATGTCTCTGCAGAATAACACTGAGTAAACTGTAAGGATTATATACAAGAATGTGTACTATGGCAGACATAGGGTGAAATCCATATCTCTAATTGGCTATTCCTTCTCTGAACATACATGTGATCAATCTGAATCAATTAAAGAGTTGCTCTTAAAAGCTACTTTTACACTTCTCAGTAAATAGAAGTCACTTGATAAATGTGTGTCTTCTTGCTCAGCAATTAACTTTTTTACTCCTATGTTGACTCTTTGGAGAATTCATCCGCATAATTATTAAAAGTTTTAGGAATACGGGCGCAGGTGTTGGAAGGAGGGCTATGAAATAAATAAAATGAATAGATGGAAAGCAGCCTACAGGAAAGGAGGGCGACCTCTTCATCAGGATCTCTCTCTCTGCTGCTCTTTCTCTGGAGCTCAGTCTGGGACCAGGGTACAGGAAATCTCTGCTGCTGTCCTCCATTGTGGCTAAGACTTCACCCTCTAAAAACCACAAAGACAGACAATAAACAGAAACACACACACACACACACACACACACACACACACGCAAGCCAAGTTAGAGATCTTGTTTTTGCAGAGTAGTGACTAGATACAGTGGGGACTTAAAATGCCCATATGGCATAATCAGAAAGCATACCTGGAGGCACCAACTGAATCAGCTCAAAAGATGTTGTGTCAGCTAAGAGGAAGGAAAGCACAAATAGACTGTGAGCTAATGATCAGTATCACAGCTAATAGCCGATACGCTTGCATGGCAGAGGATTCAGGGCTCAGAGACCAGGAAGCAAATCCCAGATGGCCGTTTACCTTCCAGGAGGTCAGCTACATCAGCAGGGTCAACAACGCCAGGGAAAGTCTGGTAAAGCAGAGTACAGACAAAGCAGATCGATATTTATAACAAGGTGAGACAGACTACCCCGTATCCAACTCTGCCAGCCTCCCAAGGGGAAACGATGGCCTCTTTTATCTGGGGTTGAGCCCGTAATGTTCAAATTGGAAGGCTGCAAGTTTGAATCCTAAGCCTTCAAAAGCAAGCCAGTAAAAGCCTGCAGCCGACACATAAACGTGTAATAAAAACGAGAGAACAACTTCTAGGATGTAGATTTCTTGAGCCTTATTCTTTTGTAAGTAAAAGTACAATGAATATGTATTAGTAGGATCCAACAGAAAGTTTGGGATGTGACCTAAAGACATGTGATATGCATCCCTGTTTTATGTTGGAGAAACATGCACGATTCCTCCAAACATCTCTCTTGCTAAATCTGAGACAAAAAAATCTCCACTGACACAGTAATTCTACATCTTGTGCCTAAGCTATAGTAGCATCTTATTTATAATTCTCACCTTGACAAAAATCATTTTATGGTGGAAGAGTAAAGGGAACACAGGGGGTAAACAGGGAGTCTTCCTGTACTGGCCCATGACACACACACTGAGGTAGACATCATTGTTTTTGGTCAGGAGCACTCCTGGACATGTGACCTGTGTAATGAGACAACATGAATCTTATTATACATGAAGACAGCATGAACTGGTGCTGTAGCATCAGTGTGCTACAGCACCCCTTTGAAGATCAACATGTCTAAATCTATTTTTAAAAATCTGCTGTAAACCACAAGTGTGCAATCCCCTGAGGAAGTATTCATATCAGTGGGACCTTCTTTTTTGTTTAAACCCGCAAAAGTAATAAACTAAATTGAATTGCTTTGATATAATTAACGCTACCAGGTGGAAATGAGACCAATCAGCTTCCAACTGATCCACAGGTGCTGCACATCGAAGGAAACATTTTTTTAAAAATCAGTGAGCTCAAATAGGTTGTAACTTAAATGTGCCTCAGACATTTTAACTTTTTGCTCAATATGTAAAGCCTTATGGTCTAATATTTATAATGTCAAACTCAGGAGGATTTAGTAAAATGCACTTCTGGTGAGCTAAATAGGTTAGTTATATGTAACACTAGAGCATAAACGTTTAACCGGTAGCTAACACTTTAAGTTACAACCGTTAGTTAGCTAACGGTAACTGTTAACTGTTAATTATGGAACGTTAAGGAAACGGAAGAGAACGTAAACTCGCGAGCTAGCTCGCGTTAACTACGCTACGTCAGTTTCTGAGTTGTGTTACGTAGAAGCAGCGTAAGGGTGCACTTACTGTCTGAATGTCGAGGTGCACGGTACATTTCAGAGACTTAGGCTGCACCGTAGTGGAGGAGAGATTCTTCTTCTTCATTGAAGCCATTCAGACAACTTTTCAAAGTTCGTTGTCATAGATGCCAGACAGCAACAGTCAGAGCGGATGCACCAGTCATGTGACCAAGAGGTGACCAATCAAAAGCTCTCTCTACACATCACAATCACGGTTACATCTATCTCATCCCAAATGTGTATTATAGTGCCCTGAAATCGAGAAATCTACAGTTAGGTAAAAAACAGAGAATGCTTTGTCAACACCATAAATGGAGCTAAAGCCTACATGAGCATGAAGAGATATATACATGTATACAATGCAATAATACAGCTAAATAGAAGTTATTGAAGGTCTCACTTGTATAGAAGCAATCACTAATGTTACCAGTATCGACATAAGAGAGAAAATTATTAAGTGATTTAGTGTTTAATGACTAATTATAATACCAACAGAGATAACACCATAGTCATGAAATAAGTTAGTAACAACAGGGAAACATGCATTTATTTACAATAGTATAGACAACAAAAAGGAGCTGCTGAATGAAGGCCACAGATGGACTTTAGATCGGTAACCAGCCTGTCTTCCCTTCAATAATCCACGTTGTATAGCCATTAAATAACCCAAGAGGAAGCTTGTTCTGATTTTAGTCCTGCAAGTACCAGTCATCCCACTGTTACAAATCTGTGAAAATAAGTCTTTATAGCCAGGGAGATGTGGAGCTTCTAAAGGCAATGAAGTGTGAAGGATCCTCCTGCTACGGTGCTCTGCGTTTTATACATGCTCAGTCCGTGTCCGTCTGTCCTTCTGTTTGATGTCTAGTGCCTGACACCCTGGCTCTTCTCCCTTTCTCTGTCTGCTGCGTCTCTGCCAACGCCGTTGCCCTTTCTGTTACCATTGCCTGCCACCTCAGAGCTGGAGACAAAAACATATCAACATGAGTGACTGAGATGAGATGGTAGGTTATAGTTCAGGAAACAGCAAAACCAAAATACATTTGCGTATTTAAATTTCATATTCACTTATTCATAATGCCATACTGCTTTACCTTTGAATGTGAATTGGTCTGTTGTCCTTGATGAGGTTGTTGAGTTTGTAGTAATCCAGGAAGGTTCGAGCAACATTCCTGCCCAGTTTGGTGTCTGACGACAGGGAGTTAAAGCTAACTGTCTTTGGAAGAGGTGGACCCATCATTGTTATTAGTTCCACCTGTGATCTTACTGCTATGACAAGTCAAAATGTTTGTTGTAAAAAAAAAAAGTGTATGAATCTGATTCATTTGGGAACAATAAAAGAAAAAAAACAAGAGTGACTAAAAGTGTTTTCATCCATAACAGATACAGTTCAAGGCCCACAGTCATAGATAAAACCAATCAAAAGTAAACTTTAGTGTCCAACAATACTTCAGACATTCATGATTTATAATATATATGATGTATATGTATTTGAGATTCTGATCAGGTTTAACATAAAGTTATTTTAAAAAGCCTTAGAGACATTACCAACACACCCAGTTAGGTACAATAAATAACTAGAGACTAGTAACTGAAGAAATGAGCAGTGTAAATCCTCAAGGTACAACACATTGCGGTCTGAATTAAGTGAGGCTAAATCAAATGTATTTCACTCGTGTCAGCCAAATGCATGATGCTGTCATGAATCACACAAAAGCAATTACTTATACACTGAGGCCTTATTTAAATTCAGAGGTGAGTGCACACATCATCCCCCTGCCCACTTGTCCCTCGCTACATTAGGGACAATATCAATAACTTCACTGCTTTAATAAAACAGCTGAGCGTCTATGAGTGCTGTCGCTAAGCCTGTGATCATTAGGCTTGCAGAGCAAGTAATGATGACAATCAGCTTCAGATAATGAAGAAGTAGAGATCCACTGAATGCCAACAATGTTCCCAATCACTAAGAGTGAGGATATAGTAAATAGAGATGAATAAGAACGATGTCGCTAACAGAAGTAAATTTGATCGAGTCACTGGGAAAAACAACATCAATATCAGCTGCCAATCTACCTATCCAACCTTTTAGACATATGTCCATCGACCTTATTCCATCATCCTCCATCTATACAGAATGCACATTCATACCGCTCATATAGATCCCAACACAAAACAAACAATGACACAAACGTTTTTCCCTATTTCGAGGCATTGATGTTTGGCTGCCCCCATTCTTCACCAGGCTGGAGCATGATGGAGCAACACAAAGACATAATCTGTCACTTTCCCCTGTCATTACCTTGTTGATACTCAGATATGGCCTGTCATTCGCTGGACTATTTATCTGTCACAAAAGCGTGATTGAAACAACTGGCATACAGAAAAAGATAAGAAAAAAAGATGGAGATTCTGTCATTTTTATTTTCCAATTTCTCATAATGACCAAAAAATGACCCGAACATAAATCCTGGTTGCTATAAAGATGAAAATCTATTGTTCAAAGCCTGTTAAATTGTAAACCATTCATCCTTGGTTTGAACAGGCTGTCTGGGCATATATTTCAGCTTCGTAGTTTGTCATACCTCAAGCAAAACACACACACACGCACACACACACACACACACACACACACACAAGCACAAGGGTATACCTGGCATAAGTAAGACCTGTAAATATGCAAGCAAGCCCCTCTGTAAAGTCTGCCACCTTGGCCTTTGAAGGTGTGTTTTTGCGTATGTTCGGGAGTCTGCACAGGACTTCATTTTTCACCCGGCAGGCTGATGGCAATGCTCTCCACACGACACCAGAGTCTATATTTACACCCCATCTGGCTGTTTGTCTGTGAGTCCTGCATCAGGCCAGACTTGCTGTGAGTGTGTGTGTGTGTGTGTGTGTGTGTGTGGATGGACCACACAGGCTGTCTCATAACAGCTAGCTGATGATACTGATTATGACGAGATAAAACTACATATGAACAAACTAAGGTTATGTCCTTCTGAATCTCACTTTAATGCTAATTTGAATGCATAATAGTTATAAACAACACTGGGAGCCATGCAAGCAGGACAGCTGTGCCTTGAGCTTAATGGAAACAGCCTGCTATCTCACAAAGACAATGCTAACCTGCTGATGTTTAGCAGGTATAATGCTTACCATGGTCACCATTTAGTTTAGCATGTTACCATGATTGCTAATTATCAGTAAACACAAAGTACAGCTGAGTGCTGCTGGGTATGTCTTACCTTTATGTCGTCACAGTTCTTGACATATTACATTTTCTACCTGATGATGGCGCTAGATGGAAAGTTAAGTGATCAGCAAAGTTATTATAGTTCATCCAGAGGGGGACATGAATGCGTGTAGCAAATGTCATGGCATTTCCCCCAGTAGATATTGAAATGTCACAGTATAAGTGAAAACTTTGACCTGCTGGTGGTGCTAGAGGAAAAGTCAGGAGATCATTAAAGTCATTAGGATTCATTCTTTGGGAACTATGAATGTCTGTGCAAAATTTCACAGCAATAAATCTGACAATCGTTGAGATATTTAAGTCTGGACTGAAGCGGTGGACCAACTGACCGACTGTCATACAGGACACACTTTCCTATCTCTAGAGCTGCTGGCATAGCTTACATTAACACATCTGAATGTAGGTCGTTATTAATCTGCTACTTGCTGTTAAGAGCTGATTCACACTCACAAATAGTCATCTTCAAGGACATAAACACACACTCACATTTACCTGCGTACTCTAAACAAACAAACTCCCCTTGTATCCTCCTTCATTCTGACCTCAGGAAAGTTTTGGGTGTTTTCCTCCGTTCTCTTTCATCAGCAGAGCCCGGTGCCAGTCCTGAGCTCTTTGGCCAGGCACGCTCACGCTCAGCGACAAAAATATCTCCCGGACCCCACAGTGCGCAGATGGCCTCTCAGCTTGGCCTGTCACGACTCACCGTCTACTGCAGGAGGCTTCGTGATGGACGGTCGGCTTCTGAAGGAGAACTTCATCCGTGTGGTGAATGGTCGGAGACGCGGAGGATGCCCTGACTGCTGTCTGGCCCGTTGCCCGGGGGAAACCGTAGGGTTTGGAACGAGGCCGCTGCTGCAGTAGGAAGTGATGTGTGCAAGGGCCAGGAAACAGTTGGTGGGCTGTAGCTTGGATTACAGAGGTGAGGTGGTAGTGGAAATATCCATAAAAACTGCAGCTGCTTTAGTCCAGATCTACGCAGCCTCTTCTGAATTAACACTGAGACTAATGATGCTAATATTGTTTATACTTAATCATCAACATTATCATTATCAGTGTGTGATCATTATCCAGCTCCAGAGAGGTCAAAGAGGCGTCAGCATCTTGCCTGCCTGTCACTGAGGTGTGTGAGGCGTATTCTTTAACATCTCCGTACACATAACTGTCTTGTCTAATCAATAGCGGGTCATTGTCATGGCTCAAGGGCACGCCAGCTTAGGTGCTGATGAGATACGTGAGACAACGGCGATTGGGACATTACTTGTTTACTGCAGCTGTTTACTGTCAGCACGCCATTTAGCGGCTTTCACCGCTATGTCCCCCGTGCCTGGTCCTGTAGGACAGACAGACAAGGTGACAATCAGACAACAAGGCCCCCAGTGGTATAATGGACAAGACGCGCAGAGAATGCTGTCCAGATCGGACGGGAGTTAACAAGCAGACAAGCAGGGGACATTCAAGCCATCAATACGATCCACTGACAGGTCCTGTCACTGCACTGACACGTAGAGATCTAATTATCAATGCTAATTAAGAGCCTAGTCAACAACAGCAATACAGAAAGGGACATTTTTGTCCCCAATAGCGATTCAGCAGACTGAAAGACCTCACGTCCTGTTGCCCAAAGGGACAAACAAGGGTTGATTTAAATCCCTGAAAAGAGGAACTGTCACTGCCAAGGAGACAAGCTCTGAAACTTGAGTCGTAAAATGAAATACGTGCAAGAACGGCTTCTGTTTTCTTACAGTGTGCACTTGCAGGAATAGAGACTCTTCTGATCTACGGTGTGCTGCTCTGAAAACAGAATATGGAAACTATTTTTATATTATTATTAATATAATTATTATGTTTCTTTACAAAAGTTGCACTCATTTGTTGTTTAGAAAAGGCTATGCTTTGTGTATACAAGTTCAAGAAATATAAACAAAACGTACATACCATTATACACACCTGTCTCATTGTGGTACCTGTGATTTATGACTTCAAGCCTCTCTTCATGTTCTTTCTTATTAGTGCCATTATCCTGAAGGTATCACTTTTATAATGTTACAATCGTATCATCTCTTACTCATCAACTGCCACTTCACCCACTTGCAACTTTTACACTTTAACTGACAACTCCACTGCTTTAGTTATGGTTTAACTGGTGAGTTCATCTATTTTCAGTGTTCACACTTCAGCTCTATCACACTTGATGATTTCATGTCATCTCAGACGGTGAAAGTTAGACTTCTTTCAGCATTTCCATTTGAACTGCCACTTCAACTTATTTCAGTCATGCAACTGTTAAACGCTTCAACTGCAAATTTTCAGCTCCGAGCACACTTTTCACAAAACGACTTTCTCAGACTCTCCGCGAACATCAACTTCATCAACGTTTAGAACAACGACCAAAACACAACTAGAGGTGTGCATCTTTGTGAGTGCTCATGTGAGGACACCTGTTCATCTGAGCATACTGTAGCAACAATATTTGTGCAATCAACTGTGTTTTTAAATGTGTCTGCATCTGTGCTCACTTGCACATGTGAGCACCTATCCATTTGTGCAAGTCTGTGTGATATGATGTGTATGATGTGTGGTACTGAAGCATATTTTGCCTCCAAGCCACTTCTCACAATCTGTCCATTGGGTGTCAGGTTCACTGATGCATACATATGTTCCACTGGCTAATCTGGTGTTTATAGAGTCCCACTGTTATGGCGAGGTGCACGTCAAACAGACCTAAGACACATGTAGAAAATGATGGCTACAAGTGTGTATGTCTTAACCAACACCACACCATCCTGCTGGATAACTCAACAATGGCAATAGATGTGGATTATTTGAGTGAACATCTTCAATAAGAAGATCACTGTGTCAGAAGCCTCTGCATGTCTTTTACTGAAAGAAAACATCAAATTTGCATGAATCAAACAAGGGATAAAAATGTACTTTTCTTCCTCTCAGAGTGAGAAGTTTGAAAATCTGCACATCTGTACACTGACTGAAAAAAGCAACAGCTCAACCCAGCGCCGGAAAAACAAGAGCGAAATCTTTCAGGGAAGGCATAATGGCTTTTTAATGTTTTTGAATAATTCTTCAAAGTCACAGAGAATACTGTCTCTCCACAATACAAAAAAAAACATCCACACCCACACACACACTACAAGGTAAGTAGGCCCCCTAAAGCTCACATAAATGCACGTACTGAACTCACACAACGGAAAGCGTCAAGCTGAGTTTTGAGCGAGATCCCAGATTCTCTCAGCCCTAAACCACTCCACTTTCCAGTTTAAACTTCAGAGTCTGAACTGGAAGGTCCATCACAAAACGCAGCTGGTCTATGAACATAGAAAAACATGCCAAAATATTACATTTTTGTTCTGGGACGTGGGATGTCAGTGAGACTAAAACTAACTTTAAGTGCAGTACATAAGCATAAAAAAGAGATATATTCATAGGAGTAGGTACGCACATATGCACACGCACGCACACAAGTGTTATTAATGATTAGAGGACAAAGAGAAGACAGATACACGGTGGAGGTTGTCCCTGCTGTTTCAGAGAAGATGATTCTCAGCTTGACTAAATGATATAATGAGCTGTTATGTTCTAGGTGACAAGATGAGAGGAAAGGACAGAATGAAGGAGAAACGAGGACATGAAAAGAGAGATCAGAAAACAAATACAGACACACTGAGCATTACACCTTTTTTTTCCGAGCACCTTCAAACTGTGACAAACGTCTCAGCTGTGAGAAAGGTTACGATTTCAATTTTGGTGGCTACAAGTCACAGCAGTGGAGAAGGAGAGTCAGGAAAGATTAAAGGGTAAGGGCGGCATGTTTTGAAGGTGGTAAGAGTTAGGGCCGAGGTTATTACTCATTTGTCATGTATTAGTTTAAAGGACTGTGTGTGTGTGTGCCTGTTTGTGTGTGTGTGCATCAGGTGAGAAAGGTGGAGGGGGGGCGTTGAGATGCTAAAGGTCTCTGTTGATGATTTGCACGCTTCATCGAGCTGACTGCTGGGGCGTATAAAGCGACATGGTCGGTTCCTTCAACCTGCCTGACCCCAATCTCCACTCTACACCAGGTCCCTGTGCTGCCTGCCCACCCTGTGGATCCCCTCCTCCTTGTACACATCCCCTTCTCACAGCCAAACACACACACACACACCTGGAAAACAAAAAAGATCAAGCAAGTCCTCTCACAAGGGCTGAGTTTTCTTCCAATTTGACCTTCAGATGAAATGTCCCCTCTGCACACACACACACATAGAGGCTGAGACCTGGCTCCACATGTATTATTATCCTGCTCTGCACCCAGTGCCACCAACTCAAATAAAAACACAGTGGAATTTGTTTATCACAACTGCCAGACATTTGTCTCCTAAACGTAAGCCTAGCTATTTGTCTGTGGCTGTGGTGATACCCTGTGTATGCACATGCCTGCATTCCAGTTGTGATTTGGGAATCACAACTGGATTGCAAAGACCCGAGATGTTTCTATGAGAAGCATTTAAGGGATGAGAGGGTGTGGAAAACACACACACACCACATCCCAATACGAGTGACTCTGTATCACTTCAACGAATTTCCAAATATTTATATGTACATTGGACTTGAATGTTACTAACTTTTCATGTGGGTGTGAACTAGAGGGAAATACACACATGGTGAGTCAGAATGTGCCAGCTCTTAGCACTAGAGGGCACTAGGGCTACGTCTATATCCACCCTCCCCTCCACCTGCAGAATATGTGTAGGGGAGCACATACTTTTCATATGTAGGGTCCTTATCGCTCTCTCTAAATCTCTCTTTCGCCCTCTTCTCACTCACTCTATCGGTAAGATCAGACCGCCATCGGCCGGCTCTCAGGAGCTCTTCAGCCCTGAGAAGGTCAGCTGAAGGAAAACTTCCTCCCGTCTGGCTCCATTAACGCACCTGTGACCTTCGGTTCCCGTGACGAATGTAATGTGTGTGCTCCATGTGTGCACGATTGTAGTCGACAGGAATCGAGTTAAAGCAAATCAAAGCCTCAACTGCGCGCGCACACACACACAAACACACAGCATTACGCATTCCAAAACAAGCCCCTTTCTCCTCTCTCCTTTGTAAATAAAATCAATAGACGCAGCTATCACATCCCTATTCTGTCACTGCACATCTGTCGCAACAAGAGGCACCAAAAGAGCAACATGGTTTTCTTCAGAGTACACATGACCTGACGCACACAAACTCCCCACCAAGGATTCAAATATTAAGATAATGACTTGGATGATTACGAGATGAATTGGCTTGATTTCAGAGGGAGATGGTAACTGCAACGACAATGTGTGTGTGTGTGTGTTGTTTGAAACAAGGAGAAATGTGCAATTAAGAGAGAGACACATATCAGAACATTAGTACTGCTTTCTACACTCTGATCTTTTCCTCTCTTGACGAACACATACAGCCATGCAGATGCATGTACACTCACACGGATCATATATGTTGAAGGATACATGTCTCCTCAGTGTACGGCACAGGAGCAGTGCTGCCAGCCGTCATGTAGCTGTAGAAGGACACCTCTAGAGTGTAGCAGTAGGACGTGTCATCAAGGAGACCACCGAGGAACCGTCTACCGGTACCGGCCTTCACCATGTCCTTGTTAAAGGACGTGTTGGACTAGAGGGGTGCACAAACAAAACAACCACATCTGAGACATTGTGTTGGACTAGTGGTTAGAAAGATGACACTTCAGTGAGAGGATTTAAGCTCAAGTATTTGTGTCAGCAAGCATCTTCCCTATTTGTGGAGTCTGGAGAATTTCCCTACAGAGATCATTAGCCCTGACTATGACATATAACCTTAAATAACTCTATGGAAAGTGTTGTGAGTTTCAAAAGGTACTTGTGTTTCCCAGTTGAAACTTTCCAAAAAATAATGTCTTCTGAAGTCCTTGATAACCTGAACGGCACATTATTTCCTACAGTAAAAGAGAAGAAAAAACACATTCAGCATAAACATATTGCTTTTGTGTTTTTTCGTGTCCCAGTTTACTCATCACTTAAACAATTTAACATTTCACAGTTGTAAACTTCAGTGGAAATAGTTACTGCCAACGTCCAGAGAATCACAAAGCGATTATTGCGTTGGGCAAATCTGCTAAGACCTGTGAAAGTTTCCCATATCAACAATCTGTGATTGAGGGTTTAAAATGTTGTATGTTGGAAAATTTCAGTTGGGAGAAGCTACTTTACTTATTAAAACAGGCAGTTTGTAGGAATTGGTGGCATCTAGCTGTGTGGTTGCTGAAACACAAATTATGTACACTGGCTTATTTGAACAGATTGACTTCATTCAAAGTCATCACAAAGCTGTAAATGGCTATAGCAGAACAAAAAAAAAGTCCAGTCTATTTTGGGTTTCAGCGTGTCAGCTATACTATATGATGCTGTCTTGGGAAGAGTGTGGAAAAGTTTCCATTCACTGTCACTCCACTCTGCTCTGCTGCAGTGAGAGTTGCCTTGCTGAAATGCAGACTTGGTGGCCACCAGTGGGAGTTTGCCATGATTGTGTTGTGCTGCTGCTGCTGCTGCTGCTGCACTGGGCTTTAGGTAGTGCTGAATGGGCAGAGGGACAAAAGCACAGAGAGGGAGATGACCCCTGGGCCAGCTGTCACACAAGCAACACAAAGAGAGAGAGAGAGAGAGAGAGAGAAAGAGAGAGAGAGAGATTCTCTTGAAATAGTGTTTTACTCGTCCTTCGTTACTGCATACCGTATAGACACTGACAATAAGTGACATTTCCATGCATGTGTGGGTGAACATCCTCCTCTCTGGCTTTTCTCTGTATCCAGGTTGGCACTGGGTGTCAATGGGCAATAAAGGTTATTCTTTATGATGTGTGTAAGTGGCTCTGCTATGAAATGTCAGCGTCACTGAGAAAACGAAGGTCAGTGACAAGTGACACCGGGCTGAGACGAAATGGTTTCGTGGATAATGTACCTGTATGAAAACGGTTTTATAAGGTTATGCATGTGTGGCTGTGTGGAGGAGCATCACAGTCAGTGAATGGATGTTTTTTTTTCCACATGCTCTTCTGTTCTTTGCACCTCTCCTCCATTCATTTCCAATACTTTCATTTACTCCTTGGTTTTCCTCTCCTCCCTGCCCTCAGTCTTCACAGTCCTGTCCAAATAAAGCCAGTTTCAGACACCTAACAGGAGGCTTTAGCTCCAACACCTGCACTGCTCATACAGAATATCCTGGCCTACTTTTACAGTACAGTCTTGTGTTTCGTCATAATCTTCATTGTTTGCTATTTCTGTTCTGCACACACATACAGTATACATGCACATTCATATTAAAGGTAACATGTCAGGGAAACTGTTCTGTACATCTGTAGGATCTCTTTAGACATGCAAGTAAACATTCATGCTATATACTGTATGTTACTTCACAGACATTTGTTCATATTCTAAGACCTCTTACTTGTTAAATTGGACATATATTGATAATCCACACCTTACTTCATACCTTATTTTGAGGGGGATAGTGTAGATTCTCATACATAATTTCCATTCATATTTTTACTCCTCAAGAACTTCTGCCACCACTGCTGCTGTTTGGGTACACCAACATTTTGCATACCTACCTATTCCTGAAATTTTACTGTATTCTTTTACATAATTTATACGTTTTAAAAAATATATTCTGGAGTTGAAATCTTCGGGTGTGTGCTTAAGTATTTCCGTTACTCCGTGTTACTAGTTAATTGAACTGAACTGTCAGGGTTGATGAAGTTCAACCCTCTCTTCTTTTACACTCTGCTCAGCTCCTCTCTTAAGTGGTCAAGGTGAGAACCTTTGTGCACAGCTGGAATGGGCTCTTTTCTTCTTCACACATATTCCCTCAAATAATTTAACACCTCCTGTGTTTGTACGTGTATGTTTACACTCACATGTGTCAGCTGTGTGCATATGTATTGCTAATTCCATATATATATGTTTTACTCACTTTTTTAATCAACACGTTGCCTCTAATCCATGCAGTTACACACATTCACACCTGGGAGCTGCCCAGTGCAACCAAGGACTTCAACTGTTTACCACTAAGAGTGCAACAGTTGGCAATTAAATGCCTCGCTGAACATCACCTCACCAGTAGTTGCCGAGACAAGTTCATGTTCTTTTTCCGAGCATGGCCCCGGGATTGAAGCTGAGTGAAATTCTGCTTGGCAGCCTGCATATCCGGTGTGTTTGTGTGTGTCTGTTTGCGTGACTTACAAAGGAGAAGTCTGGTGCATTTTGGCATAACAGTCTGGGGAAGACAGCCTGTCTCTGGACGCGCTCCTCGTCCTCGAACACATTGCCGTACATGAAGCCATTCAGCATGGTGGAGTGGGCGTGAACATCAATGTAGAACTCCAAACTAACTCTCTGATGGAGGAAAAGAGGGAACAGACAGAACGGAGAGAACAGAGGGAGAGAGAAACGCACAGACAGAAGATAAGAAAAAAACAGAAGGTTAGTGGGGAAGATGGGACAACAGTCCACACCAGGCCTTTCTTTACTAAGACTGTGCTGGGAGAGGATTTCCGCCATGGGATGACTACATACCCTCCAGACATTGTGGACTGACAGTATGTTTACTACCTGAAAGGAGTCAACCACCCACACATAACTTCAATCAGACTGTCTACATGAAGGGCACACCTACAGCACATACATAGACGGCGAGCAGAGATGGATATGGTGCTAAGACACACACATGCTCTCTCCTGAGATTGTCACATTCATCATAAACTCCATACTTATTTATCAGGTTAATATTGACTTCATATTGAGTTTGTAATGTCTTTTCTCTACAGCATACACTGTGTAAAATGGATTCGATAAGATCTGTTTCTCTCAACTCTGTAATCATTCAATCTACACACACAGACAGACACACAGACACACACACGCACACATTTATCTTGTGACACAAATAGGGAACTTCCACTGATTTGACTTATCTCCAACTTCTAACTTTAACATTAACTCTGACATGTCTAGATGCAGGACTATCACATACCTGTAGCACCCATTTCAGGTATTCTGCTTATAAAGGTGTCAGTTTGATAGATCTGACATTGTTACTCCTCAATTCAGCACACATAAGAAATAGCGGAACTGCACATAGCTAGAAATAATTAAACCAACTGGAAGATGTTAGTGAGACAGCACCAGGAACACCTTAGAAAATCTCATTTCAATTAGCTATCCAAAGTTGCAGTCTGATATCCATCTATGTATATCATTTCAGGGTAGAACAAAACAGTCAAGCATATTAATTCCCTTTACACTTCCAACTAACAGAGTACAATATGCATAATAGCACATACTTTATAGTGTTATCCATGCTATTGTGTAGTGTGGAATTGGGCCATATATCTAGCAACTCACTCACACTACATCAGTGTAAATGACGCTCTAGTTACTTTACATACACCACCATAGAACAATAAAACTAAATTACATTTTCTTCAGGTTGCTGCATAACTTAAATGTACTACAATACACTGTCCAATTTAGCTGCATGTTATGTAAGATACTTAACTATCTAACCACAGAGCTGTTACATGTTTTTATCTCGCTTGCATTTGAATGTGATATTGATTGATCTATAATCTTGACATATATCTAACTGTCTAAAAAAGCTGGTGTATTTTTTTAAACTCCAATCCCAAACCCTAAAGCCGGGTGAAGACGATCAAAAATGACCTCACTTTGCAAAAAATTCTACTCAATGGTCTTAAAGTGGTTGTGACAAGGGCAGAAATCCAAGCCCCCTCACCACCAGCAACCAACCCACCCACCCACTCTCACACACACACACACATACACACACACGCACACACACACACACACACACACACACACACACACACACACACACACCTTCTGACCCTTAATTCGGGAGCAGCACCAACTAGCATCCCTCCTCTCTGCCTCCTCTCTATCTTATCACTCCATTCTGCTCCTGGTTTTATCCTTCCACTTCTTCTTCTTCCTCCTCTTTATCTCCCTCCCTCTTGCTCTGCTCATTACACATTCACCACCACACCTTGTTCCCTGTGGGTCGTAAAGGGGAGAGGAAGGGAAGAATGAGAGGATGGAAAAGGACAGGGAGCGATATTCGGAGATGAAGGGGAGGGAGAGCAGAGAGAGGGAACAACAAAGACGGACAAAAGACAAAGAGAGAAAACGATGCATGTGGGTTTGTGACTGTGTGTGAGAGAGGTAGAGGAGCAAGGAAGAGCACACAGAAAAACATGTAGAGATGGGGGTGCAAAGAGAGAGGAAAGAAGTACATAAGAGAGAGCAAAAAAGAGAGAAAGACAGAGAGAGATACAGAGAGACATAGAGATGTGTGTCGGGAGGAGTAGAGAGATTGACAGGAGAGAGAGAGAGAAAGAGAGAGAGACAGGGAAGCGGTGCTTGGGCGGCCCGGGCGACGCAGTGTGCCTGTGTTTGAAATTCCGCTCACAGCCAAAGCAATTTCCTGGCGGTGGTTGTGCTGTCAGCTGCTTGGCTGGCTGGCGGTGAAATATGGTGGCTGGGAGTCGGCCGCTAGCAGCCCCCGACAACCTGATGGATGGAGCCCCAGAGGAGAGGAACAGCAGCAGGAGAAGTTGGAGGAGGAGGGGAGGTGAAAGAGGACGGTGTGAAGGGAGGAGGGAGGCAGAAACAACAGAAAAACAAACACAAAAAAGAGCAAGAGGGAAAAAAGCTAAATGCAGCCAACTGAGCAGTAGACAGTCTGAGAAATACATAAAGAGACATTAAAGGGAGAGTTAGATAGGGGATGAAAAGAAAGAGGCGAAAGGTAGATGGAGAAAGAGGAGGGAGGGAGGTAATGAGAGAAGTAGACCCAGATCCATTAGGAAGAGGAAGGAGGGTGGAAGGAGTTCCAACCAACCAGCCGGGGTCTAGACAAGGGAAACCAGCCTAATAATCACCTAGGCGTCTCCCCTGTGGAGGGCATGGAGGCTGGGAGGAGGGAGAGGAATAAAAGGAGGAGATATAGGTGGATGGATTGGAGGGCGCTGATCAACAGTGGCAGATTGCTTATAGCAGAGGTTAAGTGGTGGATACATGCGTACATTTGGTAGAATACCAGTGAATGACTGATCTGCAAATTCTTTATTTAATTCAGATTTTACTTTTTCATCTCATATAATCAGAATTTCCAAGGGGCTGGATACATTACATGGCCAAAAGTAAGTGGCTAAAAATTACACTAGTCTGTGATTGTTGAACATCTCATTTCAAAACCACTGATGTTAAAATGCTGTGCATAATCTAATTATTTGCTGCTTTGCTGGCATTGAATTTGTGAGGTCAGACACTGATTTTGGGTAATGTTTGATGGGGTTGAGGTCAGGGCTCAGTGCAGGCCATAGGGTCCTCCCACGCCAAACTTTGAAATAGAGCTGAAACGATTGGTCGAATAACAGATTAGTCAATGGACAGAAAATGAAATGTTAGTTGCAACATATTCAGAAACCTATTTCTTTATTGACCCTGCTTTGTGTAATGGGGCATTGCCATGTTGAAACAGGGAAAGGTTGTTCCCAAACTGTGGCCACACAGTTCAGCAACACCAAACTAAACATTGGACCAAAATATCTATGTATGCTATAGGATTAAGTGTCCAGTAGTTGGAATTAAGATGCCTATAGCCAAACCATGAAAACAACAAAGTGCATGGCCAAAAATGGTTGTTATGTATGGCAAAAAGTATGGACACACTATCTACATACCTTTGGCTCTGCAGTTTATCATGTATGAAATACAGTGTGCCAATCCACTGAGGGGAAAACTCAGATTCAGTCACATTCATACATGTTATTGAAGCCACCTGATATAGATATTTATCTTCATTTAGAGAGAACACGCACAGAAAGAAGGTGAAGGACCTAAAGCCTCATCTTGTTTGTTCCCTGTCCTCATTCTAACCCAAGAAGGTTTCTCCTTCACTGCTTCATGTGAAGGACAGCAGAGGGGCAGCAGTAACAGCAGTATCAGCCATGGAGCCCCCACAATGTCATGTCCAGGCTTTCTACAATATTCAGTTAATGCACTGTCAATCAAACTGAGATGGTTCTGAAGGCCCAACCACTGTGATTGATGCTTCAATTAACGACCCGCTCTGACCTCCAGAATTGTTCATTTGAAATTGTAATTAAGCAATTAGGCGCAATTAAGAAACAGAGAGTGCCGAATGAAAGTCAGAAGACAATTTGAGAGAGCGAGAGAGAGAGAAACAGAGAGGGAGAGCAAGCTGTCCAAATTAAACCTCTCGGAGAGAAACAAAAGCCCCATCTCGCTGCAGAAACTCCAGGGAACTCTCAACTTGTGGTGAATTTGTAGCGGCCGCAAACAGTTTAGTGTAAAACCTAGAAGGTCAACTGAATGAATTTTGTCAGACAAGTACTTATCTGCTGCATATTAATTAGAGCGGGGTGCGGTGAGGGCCGTAAATGCCGGGCTTATCTTTACACGGAAAGGAAAAGGAGCTGATTGAAGCAGGATTACAAGCTCCTGAATAAAGCTCCTGGCATCAGCAGCATATATACCTTTTGAGGAGAAGGGAAACTGCTGCTTGTTCAAGAAAAGAAAGTTGAACATACTCGCCATGTGATGCACATTATACAACACTGAAATATTGCCTATAAAGCCTGTGGAAGGAGTGACAGGATTGTATCTGTTGTAGCTAGCTAGATCATTTAGCCAATGCTTGTTTCACAAGTTGGTAAAGCCATAAATATGCATTTTATGACTACATACATATCAGGCTAAAAGACTGAGGCTAAAGCTGCATGTTTTACATAAAAGATCAGCATCCTCACCAGTTGTTGATCCACGTGGAATTAAATGAAGCTGGCCTTGTAAGAAGCACTGTGTTAGGTTAAGAACATATTGTAAACAGAATAGTGGGCCGGACATACATTTGCAGTTTATGTTAAAGACAAACACACTTTACTTAAAAACCAAACCACTATCCTAACTCTAGCCCAATTCACAACACTTCAACAAGTGGAGAAATAGTTATGGCCGCCCAACTATAATGGGGGGGAATTAAAATCAGTCAGATCCAACCTCAAGTCAACGAGATAAACCTGGGCAATGAAAGCGAGAGTAGAAACCTCTCATTCACAATGCAATGACTAATGAAGTGCTCTTGAGCAAGGTACTTTCCCAGTGGACCCACCTAGGTGTGAATTTGTGACACTGTGTGAGCATCAAACATTTATACAGAGTCAAACATTCCCACAAAATAATACAAGGAAAGAAAAACTCAAAAGTCATTTCACTTATAGACTGTAAAAGTCTATCCGACATTTCATTAGTTAGAGAAGCCCATCCAGGTCACAGGGGCACATGGTTAGTGA